GGTTGATTCTTTTTTTTATAATCAGATTGTAAAATGCGGTTAATTGGAAATCAACTTTCTGTATGGATCAAAAGATAGTTAGATGTGCGCTATGTCAACATTTTGGGTGTGATTGCGTGATCGTGGAGCACGGTGATTTGTAAGGACTGCCCTTCAAATCGTAATTAGTGGTCTATTGTTTGAGGCAAAATGGCCTTTTAAATAATAGTGGGGGATTATTTATGCTGTGTCTATTCAAAGTGATTTCCTTTGTCAGATGCCCTAATACTTAATACTTTTCGCACATTCCAACAGCCGGTGTCCTATTCTATGATAGTACATGATTTTGTGGCCAAGTGTGGAAAGTGAACAGATTCATTAATTATGTACCCCCTATGTCCTTACATGATCTATATTGCGTTATTAACTGAAGCAGATTTCACTTTTATGTGTCAAAAAAAGTTTTAAATGTAGTAGAATGTACATAAATACAATAGTTTGGAAAAAATTTTTTGTAAAACTCAATTTTACAAATTTTCAATTTAGTTATAAAGCAACATATTTATACAAGCTCATTATCCATGTTCCTATAATGATAGTTTATTTCACATCATAAATATGTTCTAATATTATTAGTCATTTTGCTGGTTTTGTTTGTATTATTTAAACAGTTTTGTTGTTCAAAGACCATTTGAAATGGCGGTATTTTGAATCTACAGAAAAACCAAGTATAATTATCAAAACATTGAAATCTTGTATACAGTATCTTCTATCAGTGCGGTTTTTGAAGGTTTATCCTGTAATGAAGTTATAGCTACACAATACCACGTATATATCATAACAAATATCAATGTAACAAAGATTACTCTATGCATATGATGATTTAGTTGCAACAATTTGATTGTCAAAGGGTCCTTAATCTTTTGCAATATCGTGCTGGTATTATCGGTACTTTCAGTCCCTCTCATCACTACAATTTGTCAGCAATCCAATTCTGCCAATCAACAATTTCACAACTAGTATTTCGTGATTATCTCTAGAAGGTGAAATAATAACATTACAAACCTTTGCATTAAGTCTAAATCTGACATCTTCTAAGACGAACCTTGTTTTATATCTCATACAAAAAACGTTTTAGAAATGAAATGAGTTTGAACTCAATTTTGGTTGAAATAAAGGTATTCTTAGCATCATATAGTAAAATGTGTCAAATAAGCAATGTGTCCTCTTTGCTGATGACTTGTTTTAGGAATAGAACAAGAATTCCTGGTTTGTAGTAATAAGATTTATGTGTAGAATTATAAGAGTAATTGTAATTTTAATCTAATTTAAAAAACTATATATTAGGAATCTGTAAGCATTTACCTGTATCTTAATTTGTTTTTGGCTTAGATATTAAACTAGCATGTAATCAAAGTTCAATCCACTAATTGTTTCTCAAATCATTTCACCAGGAACAGCAGATTAAATCATTATTAAAAAACAAGTAAGATTTATGATCTTAATAACAATTGCATTTATTTTTTTAATTTTTGTTATGACAATCAGTAAACAAATTGTTTATCACCATGCTGTTTCTACAGTGCAGTTTAAAGCAGTCAGTGAATTTCAACATCATTAGTGTATAAGTGGTTAACAAATGCCAATGGCCATTGGATCTATAAAATGCTGTATTATTTGTGTAAATAAGTTGTCGAAGCAAACTTGTTCAATATTAATGATATATAGACAGGCCTTTATTGTTTTGTTAAATGGTGTTTTGCTTTTACATTCAGACATTGCAGAATGTTGTGAATTCGAGTTTATTCACATTAAGGCTTTCCATTTTTTAGTTAAGACACACAATTGCAGACTTGAAGCCTTGATTTTGTTCATTATTACCGCAATTGGTAAGAGTTTTCGTAACTTGCCATGTCTCTTTGATATTCTATCTAACATCTGATTCTCCTGTGAAGCCTAAAAAATAATTTTCGTTTTTATAATTTCAAAGGTATAATCGTAACAATGTTTGTTTAGTTAATTGGTGGCGTTCAATACCTACTGTTGATTCAGACTGTGTGATTCTGTCTAAACCAAGGATGATCTTTCCTTCTAGAGTGTCTACAAAAAGTATCTGAATGATCAAAGCTAAATGCATATACATGTTATAGTTTGAGCAGGCTATAACATGATTGTCATTGAACAAATTTCTTTTCACTTTGATTGTATTTGATTAATTTATAACAATAACTCTTTCACAAATATCATATAGATTTTGGGCATGTGACCAGTCTTGCTGTTGGAGATATCTAAAAGATTAGACAGTCAAGAAATAATACACAAGTTTGGATTTCCTTTGTGGAGAGCATGTTCTGTGTGAAGATTATAGAAAAAACAAAGCACCCATTTTACATATGTGAACAGCTTCTAATTATTTTATTCATATTAGAGTATAAACTGCTTCTGTATTAAAGTCTAGCATAAATCCTTTCACTTACCATATCTATTTTATGGCAGATTTAAAATATAGATTATTATCCTGTTTTATTATTTCTTTTCTTAGGCGTGTATCCAATATAGGATTCCTATGTCAGTAATAAAGGTACCCTATAAACCTCAAGATAATTATCTCCAAGTGCAGCATTTCAAGCCGCGTGCTCTTGTTAGAATTCCTGATTGAAGAAAATGATTTTCATGCTTGTACCTTCTTCTCTTTTTTCTTCTAACTGAATTAATTTTGTAGAAATAAAATAACACCGTTGCTTAAACTAACAAGACTGAAGCCCTCATTGCACAGCAAACCTAGTTCTGTGAATATGCGCTTTTGTATTTTTGTGAAGTAGATTGAACTCACGGACTATTCACGTTAAAAATTCCGATAAACTTTCTATACTTTACCGACAAAGCAAAATGGTCTGTTGTTGCATATGTTGGTCGAACGAAACCATTAGAGAGCCTCCTTAACGACCAAAGCATTTGTGATGGATACTCTCTGTCGTAATAGGTATTCACATTGAGTTATAAATTCATTTTCAAGATGAAACCAGAGTTTTGTCAGCTTTTTTTATGCACGAATTCCTAACACCAAGTTGTTTATGCCTACATGATATTTACTCATCGGAATATAAATGAAGTTTTCCTATTTCAAGTATAAAGAGCTTTCTTTTCCATTTTTGGATAGAGAGAATGTTGATCAATGAGAAATTTGGGCAAGAGAGAACATATGTTTTGTTCAGTCCTCAGCCACCTCATGGTATGATTTCAGTTTATGTTGATACAATTGTCATGATCTCAAGCCAAGTCTTGCTCTTACTACAGTTTTTGCGTCGAGTATACTTTGGTCTGAGTCATATTCTCTATTTTTCGTGGTAGCCCTTGTCACCTCACTTCGTCCATCTTCTTTCCTGCAGATATGCTGGGCTTCGTGAAACATTTGCCATTTAGACTGTCATAGAGCCAAATTATCGAATCCTTCGTGTCGTATGAAGGTGAATGAATTCACAGTTTGCGGAAGTATGGTGGGATCGTCTTACTCCGCCGACAGCTGACCTTTTGCGACCCACAACAATTTCTTTCTCGATTGCTAGATCTGCAGATCTTGAGCTGTTCAACATGATTCGAGCAACATTTTTTCTTCTGCAGAATTAATTCTTGGTGATCGTAATCATAGTATTTCGTATTTAGTGTAGTTCTTCGCGTCAATCGTCACTTAAACATTCGGTGTCATTCTTACCGTTTTTGTTTTTGATGCTGTGCGTGTAGTTTCGTTTTTTTTTTTGTGAGTTATCGTGTTAGGGTGCCGCCTATTCAGGCTATTCATTCTGAGTCGCGTGTTCATACTTTTTTCATCTTGGATTTCTTGACTCACTTGCCACTTGATCTGGTACAGACAGACTGAGTTAATATATGCATATTTAATTCTCTCAGGTCCTTACCACTTCGGCTCTACAGTTGTTTTTCATTTGCTGTTATGATATAATAATTGTTAAGCTTCAACTTTTTGTGTATTCTCAGCAAAGTATTATTGTTTTGAGAGTTGGTATTCTGGGTCCATTAGTATTCTTTGGGAAATAACCTCTCTTTTCTCTTTATAGAGCAAATGTCGATAAAATGGCGCTATCGATGGTCTTGATCACAGTGATAGATGGCCAGTGTAAAGAGATTTTTTCAGGATAGTTCTACTTTTATTTATAATCATTATATCAAAATGTTTTGATTTTTATTAATTATGTCCTATTTTCCTACCCTATAGTTGTGTGTGTATGACTATCATGTTCCTTTAAATGTACAAATGCACAACTTATAAAATTATTTTCGTTATTTATCAGCAAAAGCGAGTCACCATACGAGTTTATAGAGAAGATGATTTCGTATGACGGTCATTGCGGCTAGTCTTACCTCACAGTTTATGCAATTTTGGTATCTTTTTGAGAAATTCATACGTTTAGGTCTGACATTGTCAGAGCCATTGAGACGAGTTGACTATGAAACAGTATTTGTTAGTAATGCTAATTTTATATTCGATTCTATGGGATGAGATAATAAAAAACTGAAGATTAGGCACCGCGCTCGTATAAGCTATCTCAAATATATTGACACTTGTCATATATCTGTGAGCAGATGTGAATTTGTCTTACTCGACGGCCAAATCACATTGTTGTTGTTTCTTCGGTAGTATACATACTAAATCGGAATTTGACTTACTAACTTTAGGGCGTCTAAAGAACTGCGTCATTAAA